CTTTTGTGCGTAGATGGGTTGTGTGAAGGGAAGTCCACATGGCAATGTCACTGCCCGTGGCTCTGCTCTCTGTTACCTTGCCATTGATGTTACTCCTCAGTAACCGAGGTGCGCTGTGGCAGACAGATGCTCAGAATGGCTACAGTGCTCTGAATCTCTCACATGTTTATTCTACACTGTCCTTGCTGACTGGGACAGCAGCAATAAAACATGGCTTCAGATGATTGTGATTGAATCCATCAAGGGGCAGCTCTCTTTTCCCCATCCTCACCTCCTTGTTCCCTTCATTTTTGGTTCTCAGCCCTGGGAGTGAGACCAGCTGGACTTGCTGGTGAGTGAGCTGCTCCTGACCTTCATCCACCTTATGCAGGAGCTTTGTGACCACTTTGCCTGTGTGTTTGCAGAGGCCTCCATCTCAGGGGGACCGACTATTCCCACTGGTCTAATTTCACCATTTATTCTGTAGTTTGCCCCATGCATGCTCACTGTTTCCTGGTCTTAAGTCATTGAAGTACTTGGGGAGGCAGTTGGTCATGACTGATGTTACGCGTCAGTCAGAAAGGCTTGAAGGAGCTGGGGCTCTTTAGCTTGGAGAAGAAGAGGCTGAGGGGTGACCTCATTAGTGTTTATAAATATGTCGAGAGGGAATGTCAGGAGGATGGAGCCAGGCTCTTCTCAGTGACATCCAATGATAGGACAAGGGGCGACAGGTGCATGTTGGAACATAGGAGGTTCCACAAAAACATAAGAAAAAACTTTTTCACGGTGAGGGTGACAGAGCCCCGGCACAGGCTGCCCAGGGAGGGTGTGGAGTCTCCTTCTCTGGAGACATTCAAAACCCACCTGGACGCGTTCCTGTGTGACCTACTGTAGGTGATCCTGCTCTGGCAGGGGGGCTGGACTAGATGAGCTTTTGAGCTCCCTTCCAACCCCTGGCATTCTGTGAGCCTGTGAAAGGGAAAAACAGAACTGGAGATGGCACAATAAAAAAACTGCAGCAATGTATAAGAAGCTACTGAAGAGATCATTGCTTTCCAGCTATGGGAGGAGATGCTGGCTGTGCCTGTAAAGCCACGGGTAGCACAGGGGAAATGAGTGGGATGGCCACTATCCTTCCTAATAAAAGAGCCAGGAAGGGGCAGGTTTGAAGGAAGTAAATGCAGATATGTCTTTGGACTCTATGTACGTAACACTAGAGCTCTTGTCACAAATATTGTGGGTACTGCAAGATTAGATTTGTTCAAACAGCAACTAGATATGTTCATGGAAGAGAAATCCACCAGAGGCTGTTACTTGAAAAGACACTGCAGCTGACTTAGGTTGTCTCTGAGCTGCTCATCCTAGATGGCCAGAGAAAATTATTGTTGCCTGCTCATGCTGATCTTGAGCTGTGCCTGTCGGCTGCTGTCAGACAAGACTTCGGTTTGACCAGTACTTATAGGCTTATAGTAGCCTGTATTTCATTGTACTCTCTTTTCAACAGGGAGCTGGGCTGAATTCCTCTTCTTGTAGCCTTTGCTACATCTCTGCTGTTAACGAATGAACCATAGTAATATGATTCTGTGATTCCGTTTTAAAATACTTTGTGCTTCTTTGGGAGAAAAGACATGATGCTTGCAGAAAACAGGATTTAAAAGATAATGATGTTAACAAGATGCTTCTAGGAGAGCTCATCAACCATGTGTTTTCTGACAGGGATAGCTCTGTTGACAGCTCTCTTTTCTAGAAGAGCACAACATGCATGTCCCATGTTAGTCTCTTTTTTGCATGTTTAGAAGGAACAAAATTGTTTCTATGGCATGAAATATGCAATCTCTAGCTGGTCAGCACTGTAACCCACTCTGGTATCATAACATCACATAGCACAGCATCTTCCTGTCCACCTTTTCTGGTGGAATGAATATCTTTTTAGCTAAGGTGTTTTCTGTGGGGAGGTTTCTGGGTTTTTTTTTTTGTTTCTTCCTCTCTGTTTCTCCATTACTGTGGGAAGGCTTTCTCAGGAATCTTTTCCTGTAGGATTTATGATGTGAGACTTTGCCAGATGGACAGTTTTGCTGCAAGTGGTACATTTGATGGTTGCAGGGGGTACAGCTTCCTGCAGGCTGGGCTTGTTCCTCATCCGTGTGCCTTTCAGTTTGCATCAGTGTTTTGGTTCATGAAGTTTGAGTGCTCCCCAAGCTGATGGCATTCTCGCAGCCGTAAGAGAGCCGTGTTCGTTGTGCAGTTTAAGGTACTTCAGTAAAATCCTGCAAGCCCTCCAGACCTAAGGCCACCCTGCAAGTGCCTTTCAGCAACTCCCGCGCTGTGTGCTGGCCAGGCAGCACTCAGGGACTGTTCGAAGGGACAGGTCTTACCTGCTCCCCTGTAATTTTCACACTTCCCTGGCAGGCCCTTGCTTGCTCCGCAGCTGCTTTTACCTCCACAAGACTGGCCCAGCCAGCCCCAAGAGAGCTGCAGAGCGAAGGAGGCAGCTCCTGCCAGTCTGCACAAGCTGCGGCTTCCCAGGCACACGCACAGCGAAACCTGCAAGCAGCCCAGCTCTGACTGCGATTTTGGGGCACAGCTGCGTGCTGTCAGGCTTGGTTTTACTTTCATGCTCATTTTTAAAATGGCATTTGATGTTAAGGCTTGGTTTAAGTGACTGGATCACGCAATAGGTAATGGAGAGGCCTTGCAAAGAAAGTTCAGGTGCTGCCATGCACAGGTAGAGCTCCTGTGTCCTGAACCTGCAGCTCTCTGCCAGCCTTAGAAGAAATGTGCTACTGTCTCATAAAGGTATAAATTATACATACTTGTAATAAAGCCATTAAAATGGCTTTGGCTTCCAGTTCCTATTAAACTTAAATGGAAGGGAGCGCTGAATTTCTCTATGGAAGTTTGGGAGTTTTCATATTTGAGGGGCTTTTGCAAGGACTTCTCTGGTGGCTTGGTCAAATCATCATCTGTTCTAAACCCAAGCACACACTCTAGCATGTGTACCTTGCTCTGCACATTTGGCTCGCAGCTGGCTGGGAGGGGAGGAGCTATTTGCTGTCCCAGGGCCATGTGCATTTTCAGTCTCTGCTTAAGAATTTGCCATGTCTGGTTTGCAGAGTGCTTTAGGAGAGACTTGCTCTGCCCTGGATTGCTGTGGAAAGACAATCCCAGGGGCAATGGTCATTCAAGGCAAAGTGTAGAAATAGCTCTGCTTGGTGGACACCCCTGGCTTTGCCAGGCAGTCGAAGGCATTGACTTCCCTGTGGGAACAGAAGACAGTGGGGCTGGACAATGCATTGGTCCCAGCAAAACGAACAGTGAGCTTGGCTCGGCTTTTAGCTGTGTCCAGGTAACAGTGTGGGCTGCTCCTCTGGTACACAGCCTGATGAGCAAACCCCTCGTTCAGAGAGGCATGAAGCCCATGTAGTCGGAGATAGTCTTTAAAGCCAGATCAAGCTTGTTTGGTTGCTCGTGTGCTGAGCATCACCCAAAGGTGAGAGTCTTCCCAGGGAGCCCTCCTTCACCTGGGAGAGCCCAGACATGCCTGGCACAGTGCTGGGCTGGAGCTGGAGCATGGGAATGGAGACCTTGGCTCTGGTGATGTGGGCTGCAGCCCAAGGCAGGAGGGCAGGCACCCGTGGAGCCTGCTGCGGAGGCGGGGTGGGCACAGGGGCTGCCCAAGGGCTGGGGAGCAGTCCCAGCTCCCTCCAGGGCAGGCTCTGGCATGCCCTGCTGCTTCTTCCGTGGTTCTGACTAGCTCCTGCCCTGGGGCTCTGGCTCCAGCCTTCTTGGAATCCTGTGTCAATGAGTCTTCAGCGACTGGTCTGAAGTCACTGATCTCTCCATGAGGTTCATTCATGCTTTGGGAAACAGGACAGAGGAGAGTATCTCCTCGGAGGCATTGAGTACAGCATAAAAGGAAAGTAGGTAGTAGCTACACTGTCAAAGATGTAACTGTATTATATAAGCAAGGCAGTAAGGGGGACTATCTTTAATGAGATTTACGTAATTAGTTGGAAAAAGCAGATGAATTTGAAAGCCTCGCCCTTCTTTCAGTTATTTGAAGATGGATCTGCATTCCCCAGAGCTTTTCTGCTTTTGTAACCTGTATCGGTTGTGCTAACAAAAGGTTTTTGCCTTCCTAGAAGCCTTCATCTTGCCTATAGAGACTCTCTGTTTTGGGCTGTAAGTTTGTCTGAGTCATTCAGAGACAGGCATTGCAGGGTGCCGTCAGTTTTATTTGTACCTTACATGGCTGAAAAGCTTTTCTCCAGAAAGAAATTTGGGTTTGGAAAAGCGTCTGTATCTCAGGAAACTTGAGTCATGCTGGCTGCCTCCCTCTTAGCACAGACAGGGGCTGACTGATTTCTACCACTGAACTTCTGCTCGATATCTTGGCACGTCTCTATTGGGGCACGATGGAGAAACGCTCAGAAATAGGGGAGGGAGAGATAGAGCTCTTCTTGCTTGTGCTGGACCTATTCTGGGGACAATGAGGGTACTTGCCTCTGACTCTGAAAACTTATTTCCTCCCAGAGATGTGGAGCAAAGAAAAGTCCCCTGCCGCATCTCCGGATCTTGGTCATGATGCAAGTCAGGCCTCAGCAACGTCCCACCATGAATCTGTGACTCTACAACACATGTTCTTCCTAACCTCCTGCCTGCCAGGGTTGCATGCATATGTAAGCGGAGGGCAAGGAGAAGTGGGAAAGGGGTGCTTTTCCCTATGGCTTGACAAAAATATGACCTTGTCCTGACATGCTGGCTGCTCAAGGGAAGGCATGTCCTCAGCTCCTCACTCACTTGGCCACTTCTGCTGGGAAAGGAAAGGTCAAGTCACAGCCCTAGGACCTGGAGAGGTGAAGGTGGGTCTAAAGGCACAGGCTGAGGTTTGTAGCTCTGGGGTTTTTACTTTGGCAGATGAAGCAGTTGAAAATCATCTAAGAAAACAGAATTGCCTAACAAAGAAAATAACAATATAACCTTTTTTCTGTGTGTGTGTCTTTTTTGTTTTACCCCTGCAGTAACCACAACTCTCTCCTCCTGGTCCGGGCATGCTAGAAAATGCAACGAAACAGCCAAGTCCTATTGTGTCAATGGTGGGGTATGCTACTACATCGAGGGAATTAATCAGCTGTCGTGCAAGTAAGTGAGTGTAGTTCTTGTGTCAGTATGGAAATTACTTGGCTGGGGAGAGGAGACCTCTGTGCAACTGCCAGAGGAGGGGTAGCTCTGAAATTCTCCTGGCAAGTGCAGTTTGAGCTGTGCAGGTTCAGAGAGGGAGACAAGGAGGGGAGGTAGGGGGGAGCTGAGAGTTCAGGTTTTCTTTTTTGTGTGAGTGCCACTGTTCACCGTTCCTGACTCTTCCTGTAAGACTATGTTTGTCCTGACTGTTTCTTTTCCCTTTCTTCGCTTTCTACTCCGCGGCTTCAGGGAAGGTCGGGTTTGTTTTGCTCTCCCTGAGCTAGGTCGAGGCTCTGTGTCTGATACATCCTCCCCTCTGAGCTGGGGGGTTTCCCCAGGGAGCATCCATCTCCCTCCTTCATCACTGGAGGTGGGTCCCTTGCTGAGACCTGCCTCTTACCTCTCCTGTCCACACCTTGTGGGCTCAGAAGTGGGTTTAGCCCAGAGCTGTTCACCACCCTGTGCCTCGTGAGAGGTTGTGGGTTGCTTATTTCTCCCCTTCAAATGTTAAAACCTGCAAGAAAAATACAAGGAAACATGCTAAGTTATCATGAAAATCCAATTTCTTGGAGAGGTTAAAGTGGGGCTGCATAATCCGAGGGATGTGGAATGGGATGTGAGACCTTTTCACCTCTGGCTCAAACCTGTCACAGCCAACAAGCCCAATAACGTCTCACAGCTCACCCCCCAAGCCTAACGGGGACCGTGAAGGAAAAGCACAGTATAATTGCCAGTGCTGAGATGTAGGTACCCAAGTGAGATCTGTACATGTCCCTGGGCTCCCGCAGAATGAGCATGAGGTGATGCCCTGCGTGTGCATTTGCTGAGCAGATGAAGTCAGCTTTGGAGCTCACCTGGGGATCCAGGAGTCACGGTGCCCAGCTTGGAGAATGCCACAGCTGACTCTTTTTTTTCCCTGCATGGCCCAGAGACCTCCCTGTAGAGACACACAGCCAAAGGTATTTACATCTGTGGATGTCAACCTCGTACCATTGCCACTCAGCTGGAGTGTGCATCTGAGCAGAACCATCACCCCTCCTGGGAGGGCTGTGAACTGGATTACACTTGGCACAACTCCTCCCTTCTCCCAGTAGGAAACATGGGGGAAGCCCCATGCGATGAATCAAAGTCACAGCCACTGTTCTAGCTGTAGTCCCAGAAAGTCCCAGCAGTTCCAGTTTTTCCACGCTGGGGAAGGCTCAAGCCTTGAAGCCTGGAGGAGCGTATGAATCAATGTCTCTGTCTGTAAGTAACGTGGTGCCAAAAAAGCATAGATCTCAAGGCTGTTTCTTTTGCGAAGAACTTAAATCCAGATAAAGACTTTTCAAATTGGATCCGTTTCTAATTACAAGAGTTATGTGAACTGCCATACACAGGTAAGGCTCCATTTTTTTCTAAAGAAAGATACACATGGTAGTTATCAAGTGTATTCAGCAAACAGACTCTTTTAAGCAAATTCCATCCTTGCGGAGAAACAATCCACCTTCAAACCAGGCTGCTATGATAGCTGATGAACAGAGTGGAAGCTCAGTGATGGATTCCATTAAGATTGTATGTGCCATACGAAAGAGACCTAATTTTTTCATAGCATTTGAAAGCCTTAATGCCATACTTGCAGACAGTAAAATTATTTCCTTTTCTGATGAGTCCCAGGACACCAGTTGCTACAAACAGATGGGAACTGAATGGATGTGTATGGAAGGGCAGCGAAGTGTTAACCACAAAGACATGCTTTGAGAGTCTGTACTGTCACTGTTCATCTGCCAGAAAAAGACAATTCTGTGTTAACAGGAAGCCAGGGGACCCAACCACCTTCCACACAGGGCAGTTGGTCCTGATCTTACTGCTGGAGAAGATATCTGGATGTTCATCCTCTTTGGGTGTTTTTATCGTTAAATCATAGACTGAGGATAAGAAATTCTAACTTTTGAAGTGGGATAATTTTAGAGTTTCTGGACTCCAGAAGCATATAGTTAGTTATTGAGGGATGCAGGAGCATTTGAACTGAGCATAGTATTCCCCGTAAAATGGCTTTCCCAGTGGCATGGATGATTCTTGGGGAAGGCTGATGGTGGATAAACGGACTTAACATTTGTCTGTCTGCAAACTAGCAAAATGCTGAAATGTTTTGCAGCTTTCTTGTTGCACCAAGCCAGGAGATCTACTGCTGTGCTTTGTGAAAGACACAATGATACAGATTCAGAGAAGAGCCTAGAGGAGACAAAGGTGCAGGCTTTGACCTGTAGTTCTGAACTCTTCTAACACTGGAGCCATTCTTCATCCTCCAGCCATACCATGCCTCTGAGACACGAGCATGGAGAAGATTCATAGGTTTTCCTGCACGCAACCTCTTCAAATGCTTTGGAGATCAAACAAAAGCTCCTTGAGCATCTTGAGACAGGAACAACACGTGTCTGTGTGCTATTCCCACCTTGCTATCCTGATTAGAGTCAGCAGGACCCTGGGGGGTCTTCTGGCTCCATGTGGCACCTTGCAGTCCTCCTTCACCAAGATTCTAGCACCCCAGCACCCATGTGATGTTGCCAGCTTTTCCAATACTGGCTATCAGAAATCAGAATTTTAAAGTATTCTTGTTCACAACCTGCCACCATCCTGTAATCAGCTTCCTTGGACTGGATTTCATTCTTTGTGGCTGTGCCCAAACATAGGATCTCCTTCCCGTGGATGTTATCCCTGGCCCTCTGGAGCAAAAAGAGCAGCTGGATTCTCAAATGATTTCTTCTCCTGAAGTGTCTCATTCTTGATTTGTTACAGATATTGCCTAAATTGCCAGCTGGCTTTTTTATTATTATTTTTTAACGGGCTTCTCAGAAATGTGTTCCTTCTGGTCTTTTAAGTTCTAGGGAACAAACTATTTCCCTGTAAACTCATCTTCTCCATCCCTTTTCAATACACTTCAGCTAGACCTTGGACAAAGCATTTCCTTCACCAGGGAAGAGCCCAGAATGGACTTGGAGCTGCTCCAGAAATTGTGTCTTTTTGGGATTCTGTGCTTCCATGATTTGAAGTAAATCTACACGTGCTAATGTCAAAGGAAACCTGAATGTGGTATAATCTGTGCTGTTATCCTGACTCTGCAAGGAGACCACCTGGAGGTTAGATGGGAGAAGCATGATCTCTTTCAGATATTCTGTAAATTTCAGCATAAATCCAGGAAACAGCTGAACCACACACACAGAGAATTGACTCAGCAGCCTGAGTAAATTAAAAATTCCCGGGCTCTTTTTGACGGGAAAAATTTCTTAACCCTTCTCCAAACCATTTTGCTCAGAGAGGCATTACAAGTTGGACTATTTTCTCACCGTAACTAAGGAACTGGCGAGCTGGAGCAGGGCAAATTCCGGTGCCTGCAGAAGGGATGCACACAAGGGTGTCTCAAAGCCTTGAGCTGGGCTAGGACACAGAAGAGCAGTGACTGGTTTGTTGTGTCCAGCTGAATGTAGCACTCAGGATGGCCACAGCCTCTGGGCTTGTGTCTGCCTCAGTCCTGGAGCCCGTTGGGTTCTTGGCACAACTTAGAGCAGTTTGAGCCTGCTCTAAGCTTTTATTGCTGGGTGCTGTGCCCCACGGGGTTGTGCTGGTGTGTGTGTCGCAGCAAGAATGCTCTTTTCCCAGTTAGGTCTTGGCACACATTATCTACAGCTGGGGTCTTCCCAGCCAGACAAAGGAACAAAGTCAAGTCTCATCACTGCACAGTCCTTCTCTGCCCACTTGAACACGCTTCGTGACTCTTTTGTGTGGTTGATGTGATCACCGTGGCTGGTACACTGGGCCAGGATCTTCCTAAGTTGCATGGGATCAGAAGACTTGAAGAGCTTTATAGAGCAACACTCTCCTTCATTATATTGGACCAGTTGCAAGAGTCTGCCTGAAGGGATTTACAGATGCTGACAGATAAACAGACTCTTGGTGTTTGGGCTGACAGCATTGAATTATGTGAGAGGATGAGGTCAGAGGCCTGGAGGACCTCAGACCAAACGTGAATGTCAAGGAGAGAATAAAAACCACAAGAAAAGAGAAGAGATCAAGCCATTTTTAAACTAGCGGATGTATGCAGTTTACAAAATTACATGTTCACTTCCTAGAAGCCCGTTTGCTTACCTTCCTGTGTATATTGTTTCCTGCAGATTTTCCCAGGAAAGGGGAAAGAACATGCCGAAGGGTTAGCCACATTGCCAGCTCTCCTGTGCTTTTCCAGAGAACCGTTCAAAGGAGCAAACATGGGGCTGATGTCGTACGGCCATGGTCCTCCGTGCAGCAGGGCCTGCCCAGCTCCCTTGCGGTGTCAGGAGCTCTGCCATCCCTCACAGTGACTCTGCCGATTTGGTTACCGCAAGTTGCACGTTGCACAAGGATGTCGCTTTGCCACAGATACTTGAGCAGTTCTGTGGGGTAGTGTTGCAACGTCCTTGGAAATGGAGAGCCCACAGGGCTGAGCTCGGGGTGAAAATCTCCACATCCTGTTCCAAGTCTCTTGAGCCAGCCAGGGCTCATTGGCTGGGTTTTGCATGCTCTTTATCTTGGGTCATGAGATCAGGTAGCTTTTCAGGTTCCAGTGGCCTATCTATGCATTGTGTTCAATGCACCCTTTCTAATGTGCGTTATAACCACAGCAAACCCCTGAGAACCATCAGAGTGTGGAAGCTGATCCTTCAACAGCGAGGCTCGGTGAAGACACCGGTGCAGGTCCTGCTGAGCTCCCACAGCTTAGTTGGATCCACGTCATTGTCTTCACTGAGCCCAGTAGTGGGTATCCCTGAGGTTTGGGCTCTACTACAAACATGTCTTGATTAGCTGCTCTGGATAAGGCCTCTGCATTTATTCTGGTTGCTTTGTTTTCTTCCCATCAGTGATTTTGTGGAGTCCAGCCTTTTGTGGGTCTCCAGAGCCTGATCATCTGGGACTGGTCAGGGGACAATGACAGAACTGTCTTCTTTTTC